GTGATACCTGCCTCACTCTGAAGGCTGAGGCAGGAGGAGTGCCACACATCCTAGGCCAGCATGGGATACATGATGAGTACAAGACCAGCCAGGATGCCATAGCAATAATTAATTAATTAACTAGGGCTGGAAAGATGAGTCAGCAGGTAAAGGTGTTTGCTGCCAAGTCTGACGATCTGAGTTCAAGTCCCAGGACCCACATGGTAGAAGGACAGACATAATCTTCTGACCTTCACAGTTGCACTGTGGCATACACAGGCATACACACGCACACAAAATAAATTAAAAAGTTTAAAAAGGTATCTAAATCCAGGGCTGGAGAGATGGCTCAACAGTTAAGACCACTGACCCCTCTTGCAGAGGCCCCAGATTCAATTCCCAACACCCACATGGTAGCTAACAACAATCCATAACTCCAGTTCCAGGGGAATCTGACACCTCCTTCTGACCTCCATGGGCATTGCACAACACGGGTGCACTTGTACACACGCATGCACTCATACACATAAAAAAATAATAATAAAATATTTTTTTGAAAACAGTATCTAGGGCTGGGTGTGGTGGTGCACGCCTTTAGTCCCAGCACTTGGGAGACAGAGGCAGGAAGATCTCTGTGAGTTCAAGGCCAGCCTGGTCTACATAATGAGTTCTAGGGCAGCTGTGGCTACAGGGAGACCCTGTCTCAAAAAAGAAAGGTATCTAAATTCCAAAAATGGGAAGAAGTAAAAGGAGGAAAGACAGGGGCTGGGGAGATGGCTCAGTGATCATAGAGCACTGACTGCTCCTGCACGCACATGGCAACTAATTAAAAATAAATAAAATATTTTTTAAAAGGAGGAAAGACAGCCCACTGGAAAGACTTCATGGCATTTTTTCCTATAATTTTCCAACATATCTTAAATTATGAAATTATAAACATATATAAACTATTATATATGACTCTTTTCATGTAACTTTAAAATATAAGCATGTTTCCATGTACTGTAAACTCTTCCTGACCTTTTTTGCTGCGCTGCGCACAGAACTCATGGCCTCACACATGCTAAGCATGCACTCTACAACTAAGCTACAACCTTTAGTCTTTCTTTTTCTTATTTTTGTTTCTTTTGCATATGTGTAGACAACTATCTTAGGTTTAAAAAAGAAAGAAAAAAATGTCCAGTGTTGTGGCACATGCCTGTAATCACAGCACTTGGGAGGTTGAGGCAGGAGGATCAGGAGTTCACAGTCATCCTTGGCTACCTAGTGAGTGCAGGCCAGCCTGAGCTAAATGAGACTGTCTCAAAAAATCAAGAAGGGCCAGGTGTGGTGGCGCATGCCTCTAATCCCAGCACTTGGGGATTTACAGGCAGAGCTCTGTAAATTCAGGGCCAGCCTGGTCTACATAGTAAGGTCCAGGCTAGCTGGGGCTACGGGGCGACCCTTTCTCAAAAACACCAAAATAAAATCAAAAAGGGAAAGAAAAAAGAGAAAAGGAAGAAAGGAAATAGTAATAGCATTTAGCTTATATAGTTGAGTATATTAAATAAAGATAGAGAGATAATTTGTGTAACATGTTTAGCAAATGCCTAATACTTAACAAAACCCAGGTACATGTTACTTATTAATACTAGTGTAGTTTGTATCATTATTCAACTAGTTCTTAATGGAGCTACGACAACGATGCATCTTTCCCTGTGGTTACTAGCAAAAATCCTATAAAAACTCTAGGTGGGGGTTGTATATTTTTTCAGAGCTGGGCAGGGAAACAAAGAAGTGGGGAAATGTCTATCTTCATTCAAATTAATAGAGCCGGTTTGGCAGCAAGCTTGGGGGGTGGCTCCCAGGTAGAAGAGTGGGTGGTGGCAGCCAGTGAAAGAGTCAAGAGAGCCAAACCCCTATGACCTTCAGGAGAGAGAAAAAAAAACAAGTGGTGAATCAGGAGCCACTTGAGAGCATGAACTGTGAGACAAAAGCCTTTGACTCTCATGTCCTGCATATCTGATCATCACTATGACAGCCTCCTTTTAGTCCTCTTTTCTCACCAACATCTCTTCTATTTTCCCCGGCCACTTTGCTGACTCTGTTTCTTGACTAATTTTGCTTGTGTATGTTTGTTTGTTTCTTGTTCTTGTTCTATTTTTTTGAGTCAGGTTTTCTCTATGTAACCCTGGCTGATCTGGAACTGGCTGTGTAGACCCGGTTACTCTTGCATTTGAGTGATCCAGCCTCTGCCTCCTAAACACTGAGATTACAAGTATGCACCACCATTTCCAGCTTGTATAACATGTATTCTAACATTTCCACAGCAATGAGGTAAGGTATGCTGACTTTTGTAGCTTTCAAGTCATGGTGATTTTTTATCATTCCACCAATCCTTTTGCTCATTCTCCTCAAACGTATGGTCCTATGGTATATGATCATTTTTATCTCTCCAAAGGTTCAAGATATACTTTCATCTTGTGAAGATTTAACAAATAATCTGTTGATTGATGGAAGAGTTTGAAGTCTAGTGGGTGAGACAATACTCCCACGAAATGAAAGGCCATGTAACTATAAGCACAAAATCCAAGAATATATACCAAGTTCACAGAGGTTCAGGAGGTGCAAAGCAGATAAGTGATCTATCAGGTTGGGCTAGTAGGAGAAGGTTTCCAAGAACACCCAAGTTTTGAGCTTTGAATTGAACATTTAAGGGGAGTGATGGACATGAGGTAGTGGAGAGGTGGACCTTTTCAAACAAATGCACAAAGGGAGACAATGCAAGACATAACTCAAGCCAGGACAGATGCCTGCCCCGCCCTGCCATTTCCCTGTCTCAGCAACTCTGTATGATCTGTCACCACACCTGTTTCAGTTAGAGGATAGCTCTTTGTAACATAATGCCCACCAGACTCTCTCAGCTACCCAATTTGAGATTCATGAAGCACTTATCAAGTACTCTAAGCAGGGCTGCAGGAAGGAAGAGCATATGTATAAGATGTTACAGGTATCATGAGCAACTATGTCTCACCTCTCTAGTCTGGACCTCAGGTAGTAACATATGGCCCTCTATTATACCACCTAGGCTGTCTACAGGTAGGGGACAAACGCATGAAGAAAGAAAAAAGAATATGGATGGGCTGGGGAGACAGCTCCATAGGTAAAGTGCTTGCTGCACAAGCATGAGGATCTGAATTTGGATGCCCAGCACTCATATAAAAGCAGGACTTTCAGTGTACATCTATAACCCCAGCTGTGGGGAAGGGGCAGACACAGAAGAGTCCCTGGTGCTTTCTGGCCAACCAGTCTAGCCCAATCAGTGAGTTCCCAGTTCAATAAATAAGATGCTCTGGTGCTGGAGAGATGGCTCAGCAGTTAAAAGCATTTGCTGGTCTTGCAAAGGACCCAGATTTGGTTTCTAGCACCCACATGGCAGATCATAAACATCTGTAACTCCAGTTCCATGGATCTTATGCCCTCTTCTGGCCTTCATGGACAATTCACAACATAGGTGCACTTACACAGATGCAGGCAAAACACTCACACAGAGTTCTTGCAGAAGACCTGGGTTCGAATCCCAGCACCCATATGGCATCTAACAACTGTCCATAACTCCAGTTCCAGGGGATCCGACAGCTTCTTCATCCTCCAAAGGCATTGCACGACATGGGTGCACTTGTCTACATGCAGGCAATACACACAAACACATAAAATAAAAATAATAAATAAAATATTTAAAAATAAATAAATTAATCTTAAAAAGTCATTAAAATGGGTATTGGGGCTCTAGATGATTCAGTGGTTAAGAGCAGTGGCTGCTCTTACAGGGGACCCAGGTTTAGTTCCAAGAACACACGTGACAGCTAACAACTATCTTTTGTTACTGTTACTGTTACTCCAGTTCCAGAGGATCTAATACCCTCTTCTGGCCTCCACAGGCATTGCACACATGTGGTGCACTTACATACATGTAGGCAAAACATTCATACACATAAAACAAAATAAGGCCAGGCATGGTGGCACATGCCTTTAATCCCAGCATTCAGGAGGCAGAGGCAAGCAGATCTCTGTGAAATTGAGGCCAGCCTGGTCTACACAGTGAGTTCCAGGTCATCTGGGGCTACATGAAGACCCTGTCCAAAAAATAAGCAAACAACAACAAAACACTCATACACATAAAATCAAAATAAATAAATAAATAAAATTTAAAAGTTGTTAATGTCCAAGTGTTCCAGATCCTATTCATTCATTCAACATTTACTGTGACCTAGAGCTGAGGTCACAGAGATGTATAAGACTTGTCTCTGCCCTCTAGAGGCTCACAGTTTATTGAGAGAGACAGACCAGACAAGCAAACTAATGTGGTTTGTTGCTAGAAAATGTGTTTGCCTGAGGTACCTGAAAACACAGAAATGGGACAATGAGCTGCATGTGAGGGGAAAAGGGAACATTTCAAAAAAGGAGGGTTGAGGAAGGGATAAGAGCAATGACATGGAGGCAGGAGGATGAGAAATTCAAGGTCATCCTCAGCTACATAATGAGTTCAAGGGCAGCTAGGGCTACATGAAACCCTGTCTCAAAAAACAAAATGAAACAAAAATCAATGACAGGATTCAGAGAGAAAGGGAATTATGAGGAGATGATATCTCCAGGAAATAGTGGAAAACTCAGCTAACTAGCACTTAGTGCATGTAGGTGAAAGATGAGGCAGAGAAAGTGGAAAGTGATTTGAATACGAAGAACTCTGCCAGAACTTGAGTACATGGGTAATGGAGAAAATCAGAGAGAAGCAGGGAAATTACACCATCACCTATAAGTGACAGATACCAGCTCTCACCTGTGTCCTTGAGTAAGTCACCTGATCTCTGAGATCAACATTTTCATTTATAAAATGGGCATAACAGTAGAACCTACCTTACAAGATTGATGTGAGGAGCAAACGAGCTAAAGCTGGTAAAGGAACTGGCACATAGTGCTCCATAAATTTTAGCTGTAATTACCAAGCATGCGTCTTAGAAAGGCAGACTTGTTGGCAGCATAGAACATAAACTGTAGTGGGGAGAAGACGGATGAAAAGAGCTCCAGTTAAGATGCTATTCTAATTTAGTATCTCCAACTGGAATTTGGAAGGATCACGTTAAGGAGATAAAAAAGTGAAGGTAAGTGTGGCTCCGAAAGCTGAGAGGACCAGGACAACCACTAACCAAATTCTGAGGCCAGAGGGTAAGGGTGTGGGTGTAAAAAGAGATAAAACAAAGTTCAGTTGGGGACCTGTTGAATGAGAAGTGAAACCCGTCGAAGATAGGAACCAGAGAATATCAATACTTTAAGGAGGCCAGGAGAGCCCATGGAGGAAACTGGCGAGAGTCTGTCCCTGTAAACTTCTTATGGTGGGTGGAGGGGGTAAGGGAGACCACCACTACCAGCTAACCATCTAGGTGATCGAACTCCCCGACGTGTATATGTATTATTTTCTAGTCCGGTCCTTGCTTCTTAATACTCCGCTTCTTATAGGGGCAACAGTTTTTTGGTTGGTTTGTTTTTTGGGGTTTTTTTTGTTTTGTTTTTTTTTTCATTTTGCTTTCTTAACTAGAGGGACGGAAAAGTCTAGCGTCTCTCAATACGGTCACTTAGGCGACCCCGAAACACAAGGGAGCGGGTGGAAAAGTAGAGAAGGAGGAAAATGATTTTTAAGAACAGAAAAAGAGTCCGGGACGACCTCTAATCATTAAAGTTCCACCTCCCCATATCCTGCCACGCTGCTCTCCAGCCGCCGGTATCGTACTCTTGCTCGCAAGGGAAGACGGGAGATGTAGTCCTCGTGACCGACCAGTGTGGCAAGACTGAAGAACTCGGTTTCCCAACCGGCTCTCGAGGCGCGTGCGCAGATGGCTACCCCGACGAGTGGTAAACAGAGACGTCAGGCGGGGGCTGCTGCTTGGAGCAAAACAAAAGGGAAACCCGGGGGGCGGGGGGTGGGGGGGTTCCGACTGGGGATTCGGTGCGGGAATAAGGGAGGCTGGAGCGGCGGGACCCTTGACCCTATTAGGAGTGAAGAGGAGGTAAGAGGCGGGGGGAAAGGGAGTCAGGGGAGGGACAAGTGACGCGGGGGGGGGCGCGGGGCGTGGGGGAGGGCAGCGATCCGGGTGGAGGAAATTTGGGAGGAGTGTCGGGGGGCAGCAACTTAAAAGGGGGAGGGAACTGAGCTGAGGAGACGTTCGGTGATGGGAGCGCAATGTATGAGGGGTTCTGCTGCCTCTGGTTTAAAAGAGCAGGAAGCTGAGTGAGAGGTTGCAGAAAGTGCCTTCTCTAGGCAGAGGTTACAGGTGGTGTCTGGAAGAAGAGCTCCGGGGCTGCAGGCTGTAGTCGGGAAGGGGATCGGAAAACTGTGTGGAAGGGACAGTTTGGGGGCTAGAGTCCTAGGGCGAGGGGGAAGTCCGTGACTTTCTGAGGACTGGCAGGAATGTGCCTTCTGACCCTCGGTGCTTCCCCCCTGGGGGGAGGCATGGTAAGGGACTGTGGCCGGCTTCACTGAACGCTGAGCCGCAGAGGTCCAACTCCACGTATGGATCCAGAGAATAAGAAGTCAGCCACAGAGGCTGCGGCGATCATAGACCTCGATCCCGACTTCGAACCCCAGAGCCGTCCCCGATCCTGCACCTGGCCCCTTCCTAGACCAGAGCTCTCTACCGAGCCACCAGAACCGTCCGAGGTGGAGCCAGGTCTGGGAGAGAAGGTACACTCGGAGGGTTCCTCCGAGCCGATCCTGTTGCCCTCTCGGCTTCCAGAGCCGGCCGGGGGCCCCCAGCCGGGGATCCTGGGGGCTGTAACAGGTCCTCGGAAGGGAGGCTCCCGCCGGAATGCCTGGGGAAATCAGTCATATGCAGAACTCATCAGCCAGGCCATTGAAAGCGCCCCGGAGAAGCGGCTGACACTCGCCCAGATCTATGAGTGGATGGTCCGCACGGTGCCCTACTTCAAGGACAAGGGTGACAGCAACAGTTCAGCAGGATGGAAGGTAACTATGACCCCCTTACCTTCATTCCAACACCATCCACCCCTGGGCCCCTTGTGGTTACTCCCAGTCTGGGGGCGCCTTTTACCGCCTCTCGCCTCCTTTGGGAAGCCCAAAGATCCACCTCAGTCTTCAGTTAGACAAACATTTACTTAGTACATAGTATATGCCACACTCCGAGCTTGATGCGGGAGGATCACTGATGAATAAGACACTGTCTCTGCCCTGAGGAAAATCGAATTCTCTACTTACTGCTCAGCACTCCCAGCACTTTGGCTTGAGCTGCTCCAAACACTTATTCCCACAGAGAAGTCTTTATCCTATGTACAGCAGGAACTGTGTGGATTCTCCACCCGAACCTAGACTTGCCTCCTCCCCCACCTCCCACCCAACACCTTTTGGCCCATTCCTGTGGGATTACTCGGATTCCCTGCTTGCCTCCCAATACCTCAGTGTAGAGGAACTGTTCAAGGATGGCTCTATCCTAGGGGGAGTGGGCAGTAGAGAGAAAAAGAAGTGATATTCATGGAGAAAGGTAGCTGACCTTATGTACTAAGGGTAAAAAGGGGGCCATGAGCTGCTTTCAGTCCCAGTTTACCCTCTACTGCCAAAACTCTCCCTTGGAAGGAGCTATCCACACTCTTAGGGAAAAATCTTTATTGTTGAGGAATATTACTCCTGAAAAAGGAGGTATTGCTCTGACTTTAGAGCACAGGTTGGGAGTTCCCTTGCTCTTTCTTGAAGAAGCTGGGAAAAGATCTTCCAAGATAATACTGAAAATTTTACCTTGAAAAATACAGGCTCTTATCACAAAATTAAGGAATTGGGGGATTCAACCCTATCAATGCCTTGTACCTCTGTAGGTGGCAAGGATTAGCATCAAAGTACTGAAGACAGGATGGAATGGGCGGAAGATCGTCTTGTAGGTGTTAGAGAGTGAGAGAACAGATCTGCAGTATGTGAAGGGGGGAACAGAACAGAAGAAGGGACAGCTGACTGAGACCCTTGGCACTATTTCTGGGTAAACTGCCATGCCACAATCTCAGCTCATAAAGAGCTCCCCTCCTTGGACCCAGCCTACACAGCTGTTTTTCTTTTCTCTTAGGTTCATTTTCCAGGGTAGAAAAAATGAGCATGAGTTGTCAGTTATACTGTGGGAGTAGTCTCTCCTTATGATTTACACTTACATGGGGCTTTATAATTGATGAAATTTTTTTTTCTTTTGGCTCTGGAAACTGAACCCAGGGTAGTGCATTTGCTAGGCAAGCACTCTACCTCTAAGCAAAATCCCTAACACACACACCCCAGAATCATTTTTTATTTTTTTTCATTTTGTTAATCTTCACGGCAGTTCTGAAATTCTACATTTTGTGTATGAGGAAACTAAAGCACAGAAAGGTTGGGAAATTAGCTTACTATCAGGATGAGGACTTGAATGCACGTTTTGCTATAAATCCTGTTTTTCTAAAGAGAGCATGGCTTGCTTTCATTGAAATAAGTGATTGAGAAACCAAATCAGATGGGATTTAGAGCCCCTAAAGTCCCCCAGCAAAAAGCTTCATGCCTGAGTTCACTTCTCTGGTGATGTGCCAAGGTCACTCCCACCCCACCAGGGGGCGGCACTCCCTTAGAGCAAGAAAGCTTAAGTTAGGTAGCTTAGTGAGCAGTTTAGCAGTCACACCCCTCCCCTTGCCTTAAACGTAAAAGAGTTACAGGCTCCTAGGAAACTGACCTCTCCCACTCCCATGTGCTAGTTCTAAGGCAGAAAGGAGAGTGAATATGGATGGAAGTGTAGCTCAGTAGTAAAGTCTTTGCACAGCATATGTGAGGCCCTGGGCTCAACCCCCAGCACATCACACATCTCTCTCTCTCTCTCTCTCTCTCTCTCTCTCTCTCTCTCTCTCTCTCTCTCTCAGAAGACCCAGAGTAAGAGAATGAGAAAGGAGGAAATTACAGTGCCAGAAAGCACTATGGCCTTCAGTTACTAAGAGCCCAGGGTAAAGGGACAAGTGCAACTCGTTGAAGGAGCTAGAAGCATGGGCACAGGAGTCTTAGTCCACAGAGCCCCAGGGAGACCAGGAAGCATTTGGCTAAAGGACTCTGGCACAAGAAGCTGCTCAAGCCATACTCCTTGGGCAAAGGGTCTCCTTATCTAAGAGTCAGACACAGTGGTTTCTCACTGTCCAGAGCCTCAGCTTCCTAGTGGCTCCTAGCATGTCTCAGCCTCCTCTTGAATTTATTTCTAAACTAAAGAGCTCCACATGGGATGTCAAATGCCCTTAAGGGTAGAGAGATTATGCTCAAATTCCTAAGAAGACTTGAGGTAAAAGAGCTGGAAAGGAGGGAAGGAAGAGATAGGAGGTGGGGCAGGCAGCATATATCTACCAGTAAAAATAAACTGCACCAGGGGCTCACAAAATGCCAACCTCTATCTTGCTCCCTGGGCCACTGACCAAAAACAAGGTATATTTAGCAGAAAGAATGTCAGCAATGAGGGAGGAATAGAAAGCAGGTAGCTTCCCATGCCCAAGGCATTCAGGAGCTGACAGAGCCTCAAGGGGAGCCTCACTGTAATCATCTGGGGGTCACCTACCAATCAGGCCACAAATATTATGTATTGTGAGCTTAATGTGCTGTGGCCTTGGCACTCTGGAGAGGGGGGAGACTGGTGACAGTGGAACCAGAGGGCATTGTCTGTACCCTTGGTGCTTACAATTGACAAGAATAATTACATGACCATATAAATTTTAAAATTGTGGGGAACAGATAAAAAACACACAAAATTTGGCTTATGGAAGATAAACATACACTTTATTGAAAGAGGTAGGATTTAAGCTTAGCCTGTAGTAGAATTTAGACAGGGAACACCCTCCCTAGGAAAAGAGAGAGATTATATCTCATTGAAGTGTTGAAAGTGTGTCCTAATCAGCAGAAATATAACTAGGATGGGGGATGTCTTTCAATCTTATTGTTAGCTGGGTGGCCCAAAGACCCAGTGGAGAATGGAGCACTAACTGCACTGAGGGTCCAGCCCTCCATCCTGTTCAGAGTACGGGCCCATGACAGGGGTCGTTCCTGGGCTGGTATGAGCACCATCCTGTATTTTCAGTCCAAGCCTGCATTCAAGGAAAAGACTGGAGCTGTGGAATACTTTTCCCCATCTGAACTTAGTTCCTTCTGGGTCAGGAGCACTCCCAAGCCCATCTTCCCAATAGTCTCTGAGTCCCAGAGACTTGGAAGTAGCTTTTCCAGGGTGGACATTGGGCCCTTCCTCAGCAGTGGGTTGTTACTTTGTCTTTACTACCCCAGAACAGAGAAGTCCAAAGGAGATGCTGAGCCTGGGAACTCTGTACAGTCTCTTCTCCCTCTCCTTCCCAACATCACTCCAGCTTTCCCCCCTGGATTTGCCTTTTGAGTCTCCTACTATGTCTCAGCTTCCCCTTAGACTAGACTGCTGGCCACCAACCTTTCCCTACACGTATCTCATCCCCTTTCTACTACCTCTGTCCCATCTAGAACTCCATCCGCCACAACCTGTCCTTGCACAGCAAGTTTGTCAAGGTTCACAATGAGGCCACTGGCAAGAGCTCTTGGTGGATGCTGAACCCTGAGGGAGGCAAGAGTGGCAAGGCGCCCCGCCGCAGGGCTGCCTCAATGGATAGCAGCAGCAAGCTGCTCCGGGGCCGCAGCAAAACTTCCAAGAAGAAACCTTCTGTACTACCAGCTCCACCTGAAGGTGCCACTCCAAGGAGTCCTATGGGCCACTTCACCAAGTGGTCGGGCAGTCCTTGTTCTCGAAATCGCGAAGAAGCTGATGTGTGGACAACTTTCCGTCCACGAAGCAGTTCAAATGCTAGCACTGTCAGCACCCGGCTGTCCCCAATGAGGCCAGAGTCTGAGGTGCTGGCGGAAGAGGAAATGCCAGCCTCAGTCAGCAGCTATGCAGGAGGTGTCCCTCCCACCCTCAACGAAGATCTCGAGCTGCTGGACGGGCTCAATCTTGCATCTCCCCATTCCTTGCTGTCTCGGAGCAGTCTCTCTGGCTTCTCTTTGCAGCATCCTGGGGTTGCTGGCCCCTTACATAGCTATGGCACCTCCCTCTTTGGCCCAGTAGATGGTCCTCTGTCAGTAGGAGAAGGGTGCTTCTCAAGCTCCCAGTCTCTAGAGGCCCTGCTCACCTCTGATACACCACCACCCCCTGCTGATGTTCTCATGACCCAGGTAGATCCCATTCTGTCCCAGGCTCCCACACTTCTGCTGCTGAGTGGGATGCCTTCCTCCAGTAAGCTGGCCACTGGAGTCAGCCTATGTCCTAAGCCCCTAGAGGCTGCAGGCCCCAGCAACCTGGTTCCCACCCTTCCAGTGATGGTACCACCTCCAGTAATGGCAGGTGCTCCCATTCCCAAGGCCTTGGGAACCCCTGTGCTCACATCTCCTACTGAAGTTACAAGCCAAGACAGAATGCCTCAGGATCTAGATCTTGATATGTATATGGAGAACCTGGAGTGCAATATGGATAACATCATCAGTGACCTCATGGATGGTGGTGAGGGACTGGACTTCAACTTTGAGCCAGGTACAGCACCCCATAAACACCTCAGCATCTCAAAACCTACATCTACCCCTGAGTGCCCAGCTAATCCCATTATCTGAACCAGGGAGAGCTTTAGAACTGGTAGCAGAAGTTCCTGGGGATCTGGAGGGAGGAGGTCATATTAAAATAGTATAGTTTCTGAATGAGACCTCCAGGCCCCTCACAAAAGTGAGAGCTATATGGAGCAGAGGGAGTATCTCTGCTTGACATGAATCTGGATGATGCCCCAGATGAATCTTTCATCTTGTCTTCCATTTCTTTTTCCCACAGATCCCTGAAACACAGCTGGAGAAAAGCTTTGTCCCCTGCTTCAGAGGTGGAGCCAGGCGTGTCCATATCCACTTTTCCCCCTTGAGCCCTCCCCAGAAGTTTGAGACCCTGCTTTAGAGCTAGGGTGAGGTCTGGTCACACACAAGAGTGTTGAAAAAATTATAAAGATGAAGCTGTACCATATGGGGACTGTGGAGGGAGGGTGATGGGAGGGAGAAGGGAAGAGGGTTTATACTCACTGTGCCAATTAGGGGGTAATTATGGCCCTTTCTCTGGAGCCATCATTGATTTCCCCATTCCCACCCCCTAGGCCTTATAGCAGGGGCCAGCAATGCTGTTGGAAATGTGAAGTCACCAGTGGCCTTACCCCTGCCTTTGGGAGCAGGATTTTTTTGTAGAGAGTCTTATTAGAGTTGGGCCAGGTTGGGTTGAACCTGGGATTTTTATGCAGTGGCCCCTTAGGCCCGTGGGGGGGGGGCAGGGGGAAAATTGGGGACCTAGAAGGGCCAAGGTCTGAGCACTGGAGTGGCTCACCAGGCCAAATCACCTTTGGAAGGATGCAGATGACAGGATTTTTATAAACTTTTAAAAAAATATAAACACAAATAGAGATTTTTAACAGTGGCAAGGTGCTAGTGATGGGGAGAACGCTTTTTTTCTTTCTGAAGGCTTTGTCATAGTGACATGATACAAACACTACAGACAGTACTAAGGGAGACATGGGGAACTTGGGGAGAGGCTGGTAGCAATAGTGAAGTGGGGACAAACTCCCATTTGGACTAGGTCTAGAAAAAGGTCTATGCATAGTTTGGAGTTTCCTTAAGGAAAAGAACCTAAGCCAGGTCCCCGCATTTCTGTTAACTTGTGCCTAGAAGAGGGTGCTGTTGTGGCACAGCCACGCTCTTGTTTGACCCAAAGCGGGTTAATCCTACCAGGGGAGAGTGCATCAGGAGGCCTGGAATTAGCTTGGGGTTTGGGAGGGCGTGGGAGGGTGAGAAAGAGGGAAGGATTTAGGGTTGTACAGTTAGGTACAGAGACCTCCCTGTTCAAGGCCCAGGACAGCTGTCCCTGCCCTTCTTTTTCCTGGACTGCTGGGGTTATGTGGAAGAGTGTGATGGCAGGCTGGGCCATGAAAAGGAACAGGGAAGGGGGAGCTTGGGGAGCTTGGCTGAGGGTCTGGGAAATGAGCAGGGATGGGGGGAATGTGGATCAGGTTTACTAGCACCTGCCAGGGAGGCCATCTGGGGCTCCTCCACCCCAGCCCCCAGGCAGCCCCTCCCCGTGCCGGTTGCATTGTCCCCACCCCCACCCCTGCTGTGGGTTCCCATCATTTCCTGTGTCAGTGCCTGGCCTACCCAGATTGTATCATGTGCTAGGTTGGAGTGGGGAAGTGTGTCAAATCAATAAATGAATAAATTCAATAAATGTCTATAACCAGCTCTGGTTTCTGCTGCCTTGCTGCTCCCTTCGAATATGGGGGAGGGAGGGGAAAAGGCAGAGGGCACTTAGGCGGAGGGCTAGTGGGAGGGACTGCCCGCAGGCTGGGGGGGGATTTCAGCTTGGGAGTAATGGCATGTGGTGGGGGAGGGACACCTAACCCCAGCAGGAGATAGGCCTCCCCCTAGGGGAAGTAGTCTGGTCTGAGAAGACCCCACCCCCTACTCTGGCCCTCAAAGGCTCATTGTACTGGAGTCTAGTAACCAGACTTCAGTCTTTCCTCACCCCTATCCAAGTGCTCACTCCAGCCCTCTCCTGCAGTTCCTGTCCACCCTTAGCCTCCCCAGTGCCTGCGGCCTACTGAAGCCTTGTGCAGATACTGGGAGAAGAAGTCTTTCTGGAAACAGGAACCTCACGTTAAAAATCCAGTATTTTCATGCCTGTAATTGCTGCTCTCACTTGGTTACTTTATTGGTTTAATGGTGTCTCTTCAGAAAGTCTGCTCTGGTCTTGTAGAATGGTTCCCGAGTGGGAGGGGTCCCATCTTCTCAATGCCCAGCTTTGGACTAGAAAAGGAAAGTAGATCCATTAACAGAAGCTCTTCAGGGAAAGTTTCTACTGACTGGGACTAAAGGAAGGAAAAGGAAGGTTGGAGGCAGGGGGTGGGCAAAATTGTATTTAAAAAGGTAATTTACCCCAGCAGACTGCTGTGAAGGAACCTTCTGCTGGCTGCTTGGGGTAGAAGCTTGCTGGGCTCCACCACTTTTGGGGGATCTTGCTGGGAGATTTACAGAGGATTCCATGGCAGCCAATATCTTAGCTTCTAAGGTTCTAAATCATCTTTATCCTGCTCCTCGCTAGGAAGTCATATTGCATGCACAGGGACTCCAGAAAACAAGAAAAAGCAACAGCACATCTGAGGGATAAGGACAGAACCCCCCATGACCTTCCCATCATTCAAATGATTAATTGGAGGAAATTGGCCTAAGATGGAAATGATGAGGTGGTGATAGGGAGATAAGGAAGATGGCAAGGAAGTGACCAATGTATGGTCCACCTGGATCAAGCGAAACACCCACCTAAAATGCACCTAGATCCCCCCATCCCATCCTCCTTTTCCTATGACCCCTAATTCATCCTCTCTCTCTCTCTCTCTCTCTCTCTCTCTCTCTCTCTCTCTCTCTCTCACACACACACACACACACACACACACACACACACACCCTCATCTTGTAGCCCAGGCTGGCCTCTAACTCAAAATCTTCCTACTTAACTTCTGGAGTGCTGGGATTTCCAGTGTGTGTTAGCATGCCCCGCACACAGTTATATACATTACTTCCCATGTTCTTCTTCCCCCATCACATGCCTTACCAACTATTTCCAGTTCTGGATTCTTCAGAAGAGGCACAATAGCTTTGTAGAAATTCCCAGTTTTGGTGCCTGTAAACAGAGCAGTGTGGTATCCCCAGCCCCTAATACCCAGTCTCTGCCCTTCAGAAGCCCAAGATTGCAGGATTCTAATACTAAACACACTCTTGAGATGGTGGCCTTCAATTCCCCTTTGGCATAGACCTACAGGTAAGTTATAGACCCTAGGATGAAGTGGGGGTCATGGTATACATGAATGCAAACTGTTGTCCTCCAAGCAACACCCTTTATTAGAGCTGACTAGATATGCTCAATTTAGATCTGGTTGAAGGTGCCCTATTTTATTTTGTTTTTTGTATTTTCTAGATGAAACTCATGTGCCCCAAGATCCTCTTGGCTCTACCTCACAGCATTTTGTTGGTGTTGTTTCCTTCCTTTTGTTTTTCCTGGAGCTGAGGACTCAACTTAGGGCCTTGCCCTTACTAGGTAAGTAGTCTACCACTGAGCTAAATCCCCAGTTTGGGGGTTGGGTTTTAATTAATTAATTAATTTTTATTTTATGAGTATGAGTGTTTTGCCTGCATGTGTGTAAGTGCACCACATATGTGTGAAGCCTACAGAGGCAGAAGAGGGTGCTGGATTCCCTGGAATTGGAGTTAGGGAAGGTTGTTAGCTACCATGTGGGTGCTAGGATTCAAACTCAAGTCCTCTACAAGAGCAGCAAGTGCTCTTAGCCACTGAGCCATCTCTCCAGCCCTGAGTTTTTGGTCTTCTCAAGATTGGGTGTCACTATGTAGACCAGACTGGCCTCAAACTCCCAGCGATCTGCCTGTCTCTGCCTCTGCTGGTATTTGAAGTGTTCCCCACCACACTTGGCTTAGGTGTCATCTTTCAAGACAGTTTCTTGCTAGGTAGCCCAAGCCGGCCTCCAACTCTCAATGCTCCCACCTCCTCTTCCCAAGTATTTATTTTGAGATGGGAGCTCATGTGACCCAGGCTGTACTCAAGCTTGAAATATAGTCAAGAAGGACCCTGAACTTCTGGTCCTCCTGCCCTTACTTCCCATGTGCTGGGATTACAGGCATACTCCACCATAACTGGTCCTACAAAGTGCTGGGTATTGAACCCAGAGCTACCTGCATGCTAGGCAAGCATTCTGCCAACTGAGCTTTCAGCCTATTGTGTGTGTGTGTGTGTGTGTGTGTGTGTGTGTGTGTGTGTGTTTTAGTTGTTCGAGACTAGGTCTTGCTATGAAGCCCAGGCTGGCCTAAAACTTGCAATCTTCCTGCCTTAGCCCCCTAAGTGCTGGGATTACAGAAGATGGCTGCCTTATTTTAAAGACAAGTTTCATAATTTATCTTCAGGGACTTGCTCTATCTCTGGAGAACACTCCCAAGCCTCTACCTCGTGCCCCAAGCTCCACTTTACAAACGTAGTAGGTATTTCGAGCTGTAAGGAATTTGCTGGCATAGTCTTCAGGAGTCTTCGACTGGAAAAGTAACTTCATGGTCCCAGATTCATCACACAAATCGATGGTGTCTAGAGGGAGGCAACAGGATAATTGGTATAGCTAAGGACAGAGAATAAGAACAAGAAGGGCCAGTGATCCCATACAGAATGGTTTTGAGGAAGCCCCAGGGATATGAGGACCACCTTTCTTTTTGGAGGGAAATTTTAGAGACTATAAGTAAATCTACTGCTTCTGACCCCCCATCACTACTCCTCTCCCCAAACCTCTCACCTGTTTTACACAACCCCATTTTCTTTTGGATGTAATGCAGCAACAGGCGGATAGAGCAATTGGTATTGACCAGAAACTCTTGATTATCTAAAAAGAGATGGGATGGAGGGATGGAAGCCCTTCTCTAGTTTGAACCTCTCTGTGATCTCTGCTGCTTTCAGCAACCCACATCCATGCCCAGACTGCAGCTCTGCTGCCCATCACCTCCATGTTTGATGAAGATAAACATGTTATCAAGATCAGCTCACTCTTCAAAGATCCCCCGATGAATCATACAGAAGGAAGGTGTTCTAGAGGCCCTGGGAGATGGAGGGGGCCCATAGGGTTGGACAACTGGAGGGACAGGTGTATCTCATAAATGAGGGAGACCAAACTGGGCTATTGGTAGTTGAATCATCAGCATCTCTAGGGGTGGGGCCTGAGGCTGAAGCTGAAGGATTATGAGGTCAGAAGTGGTACATGTAGCAGAAGTGAAATAGGGACAAGATGAGAACAAATTGTGTGGGGTCTCTAAAAGATCTGCTAGGAATTGGGGCAAAGTGGCAAACATAACTCTAAACTGGCTCCTGGCCAGTTGAATGAGTGCAAAAACATACTGGAGAGAAGTACCCCTAGTCAGTGAATAATGCTATTACATCTTCGGTATGACTCTGACTACTTTTTCCTACCCTCACACTACTCCTCCCAATCTCATTGCACCCCACATTTCTCCTACTCCGCACCTTCATGACAGACATTCTTAATGATTATCCATAGAAACTTTATTGCTCATTGATTCAGGAAAAATTGAATGGTAGGTAGAAAGAAGGAGAGAGAAAGGGAGGGAGGGAAGAAGGGAAGTAGGTAAGAAGGGAGGAAGAATTCTGTAAAAAGAGAAGAGCCAAGCTGGGCATGACAGTGCATGCCAATAATCCCAGCACTCAGGATGCTGAGGCAGGAGGATTGCTCATGAGTTAAAGGCCAACCTGGACTACATAGTGAGTTCCAAGCTATCCTTGGAACTACAGAGTAGTAGTATCCTTGGGCTACAGAGTAAGACTCTGTCTTATAAAAGAGGAAGGGCCAGGTGTGGTGGCATATGCCTTTAATCCCAGCAGAGGCAGAGGCAGAGGCAGATGGATCTCTGTGAGTTCAAGGCCAACCTGGTCTACATAGTGAGACCCTGTCTTAAAATCTCAAAAAAAAAAGAGGAAGAAAGGCCAGAGGGCCAGATTGGAGGAGATGAGAAACTTGTACAGGGCAAAAAGGGATAAGGGGCAATTCCCAAGTAGGATATACTGAATGGAGGAGCAGCTACATGAGACATAAAATTCAAAATTAGTCCCAGAGGGTGACAATGGGCATTGGATCCAGATTGGCAAAGATGGCAGAGGGCAGTTAATAGCACTTAGGGCTATAGGACCCTAAAGTTCCATCAGGCGAGTGAGGCTTATGCTTCAGGCTTCAGCGTATAACATGGGGGTGGCCAGTAGGGGCTATGCAGGCTGCAAGGAAACTCTTCAGGCCCCTCTCCAAGAGCCTCTCCTTTTGGGGGAATCTCACTGACGTGGCAGAACCGTTCACTGTAGTCTGGCTGCAGACTCTCAGTCAGTCCTTTAGACACACCACTCCAGGCCTAAAGACAGATATCTCCAGGTCAGAGGTCAATTAGGGGCAGGAAGCAGAAGACCCAGTCTCTGGGCCAAAGGAGCTCATACAGTGTCTGCAACCATTGCGATTACAGCAGGAATAGCCAGGCTCCTGGGCCCCCAATACCATGAGTTTCCAAATCTGCCTCACACAATGTATAAGCCATTTTTCTGTCTCTCTGCGTAGCCCATCCCCCATTTGGTCAGCCACATCCTGACAGCACAGGCCCCCACCTCCTCCCCTCAACACCCTCCCAGTCTTTCTTGCTAGCTGACAGTTGGCAGTTGATAGACTGCAGTATGTTTATGGCAGTGTTCTCACCGAAAAGTTCCCGTGGTATTCAGTAACCAGATCCTCTAGATTCTTGATGGTGGGAATTCGAGGCATGGCCCTGAGTAGGGGATGGGGGGGGAGAAAGAGGGAGCAGAAGCACATAGATTAAAGCCCCTTCGTTTCCCTTCATCCAGCTGGCCCACATGGAAGCTGTAGCTTCCTCCCAATACCCTCACCATACCTCTTGAATGGTCTACCCCTGGAGATCCTGAAATAAACCCCAGCTACCCGCACCTCATTTTAAAGACTTCCTGAAATCTCACCGTTCCAACCAACAATACACAAAGACCAGGGTAATAATCAATCCCATGGAGCCAATGGGGATGAGCACAGTTTCCAGCGCAAACACAGAAGGATTCTCTACAGAAAAAGGAAAGGAAAATGGATCTAGCGTTTAGAAGCACTTTTAAGACATGGGCACCAGGCAACAAGCTAAGCACACTCCTTATACTTTATTCTTCCCAAGAGCTCCTGAGAAAGAGGAATGATTGTTATCTATATTTTACAGATGGAAAAAAAAAACAAAGAGGTCAGCCCAGTTCCAAGGTCATCTTCACTATGCCTGCTCTCTGGAAAGCTATAGGGAGCTCCTACATGTTCTAAATTCCCCTTGACCACCCTCTGGCCTCTTTCTGAATCCACTCCCCTATTCTGGTGGCACCCACTCCCAGACCTACATAGAAAACGCTGCTTCCTAGTAGTAGAGGTTGAACACCGAGGAAAGGGAGGCTTAGGGGTAGGGAGGTAGAGCAAACAATAGTGATAGTGATGTTTAGAAAGGTTGGGGTAGTGGGTTCAAGATTTGGGAGTCATGTGTTTGGGCCACTTTACCCTTTGAAGCATTGCTCCCCCAGTAGATTGGTTGGCTCCATTTACTCCAGTATTGAGTACTTCCGCAGAGTGGGTTAAAGCGGCTTCGAACTCGGAATGTGTACAGTTTCTGCCAGTCCACACTAGGCAGGGAGAATCTTGGTGCATGATCCACTATTTGTTCCTGGGGAGAAGAACAGTAAGGGTGATTATCTAGAAAAGAAGGGAGAATAAAAACATATTCTTGCCTATAGCTCAGTGACATCTTTGGTTCTTCCAAGTTCTGGTACCTCTCAGTCCTAGCTCTTCTTCCTTTCTTTACTATTCATTACACTCTGTTCCCTTCTCTGACTTGACTCAGATGTCTCCTCTCCAGATCTCACTGGTTTGTTTCCCTTTGTCTATCTGGTATCAAGAAGAGTATAGGCAGGAGAGCCCCTAAGTGAAAACTCACTGGTGCTGACAGAGAAAAGAATGGAAAAGTCTAAACAGTGAAGCTGGGAGCCAGAGAACTGGAGCTTAGTATTAGGTCGTCCTATCTGGCTAGTTGAATCTTTTCTCCTCACGTGCTTGGCCTTAGCTACCACATTCACATCCTCAAGTCACTCACAGTCCAGCCGCGATCTCGATCACTCCGGTACTGCACCAAGTGTTGTAAGCAGCGTTCTGTATATCTGCTGTTCCAGGTCAGTTCTAGCTGGGATTCACTCAGGTTGTAAAGTGTTAGATTCACCGGAGCCCAGGGGATCACTGGAGATATGTGTATGTGTGGTCATTCACCTGGCCTAGATAAGTCAGGATCTTGGAAATAATTCCCCTTATCCCTCCTCCCTTACCCATCTCAAACCCAAACCTCTACCTCCACCCTTCTGCCCATGTACAACAATGGGGAAGAAACAATATATAGACTCCAATGCCCTCCAAAATCCCTGGCCTCTTGCCACCTCTTTCCTGATTACCAAGATTCTGCAGGTTTAGCTTCTGTTCAGCCTGCCTCTGAGGTTTCTGGGGATCTTGGAGCTGGACGACAAATGTTTGGTAGAGCTGAATCTCCTCTTTTTGTAACCAACAGCCAGAAGTAATCTCTTCTGAGAACAGATAGTGGCCACACTCCTGGAATTTATCATTATCAGATCTCATGTACCTAGAATGGGGTTTGCAAAGATGAGGAATGATGGGGCAAACTTGGGTACTGCACATGTCTGCAGCCCAGCCTCATCTGGTCTGAACCACATAACTTATCCTATGAGAAAATAAATAGTAGGGTGCCCGAGAAGCTAGCTGCCCTCATTTTTGGTTCCCATGCAGTCTCTCTCATCTAGCCCATCTTCTCTTCCTTGTCTATGCAATGCCCCTCCTCCCCTTTCCTTCTCATACCTGTAGTGCAGAGTCAGGTTGGTAGACTGGGGCTCAGAGCTGCTATTCCAAGTGCAATTCATATACTCGACATTGAACACAAAGCACTGAACTACTGGGAGAGGTGGAGTGGAAACATTGAGGGGACCAGGAGCCACTGAAGTCAGGAAGAAATCTAAGTTTGGGAAGAAAATAAAGTAAGAGAGAAGAAGAAAAGAAATCTGGGTCAGAAGAAGAAGTAGTGAGAGACAAAGGATCCTTCCCTTCGCCCTCCCCACGATACTCTTCAGTTCTGCTTACGTCGTCCCTGTAAACAAGTTTCTTCTATACAACCCTTTCCCTATAGCCTCCCTCTCAACACCCTCCTCTGGTGCTAGGTTTCCTACCAGCTTCGATGTCTTCATTCCTACTGGGCATGAGGACTTTGGAGCTCAGCCCTACCCCCAGCAGAGGCAGCTGCAGGAGTAAGAAGCAACTGAATGACAGTGATGACTTCAACATGGCGCTTGCTCTTCTTTCTCTGGGTGTAGTCTGTGTCGGAACCCTGAACCACTCTCCCCATCCCCTCCCCACCCATACATTTCCTTTTGTCGTAGTTTCCGGTGGAAAGAACCTTAGAAACCACGGCTGTACAGGGGGGTTGGCAAATGGGTTCAGTGACATAGGCTAAGTTCCCTGGGAGATTGGGTACTGCTGTAAGGCGATGTTATGTCAAGATTACAACTGGATTGACAACAGTGTCACAGAGTCAGGAATTCTCAGGCCACCTGATCCAGGAAGGATCTGCTTAACAGCCTCCCTCACCATCATCCCCAGCCACCTTCTCCTCTAAGTGGTTTTATTTTATAGTGGAGGATCTAAACACATTCATTCTGTGCCGTGATCAATCCTTGACTCAGTCACCCTTAAGCCTCTGTCAAAGTTCTACAGACTTGGAAGGATGGAAAATCCTGATTTGGCTCACATGGGCACATATATAGTTGTCTTTCCTCTGACCTGATTTGAAACAGAATACCCACCCTAAGCTGCTGTCCAAGCTTGCTCCATGTTGACATGGGTGAGAGCTAACTTTTTTTTTTTTTTGCCTTTTTGAGACAGGGTCTCCCTGTAGCCCCAGCTGGCCTGGAACTCACTATGTAGACCAGGCTGGCCTTGAACTCACAGAGATCTCCCTGCCTCTGCCTCCCAAGTGTTGGGATTAAAGGTGTGGACCACCACGCCCAGTCGGAGAGCTAACTCTTAAAATGGAGGAACAACAGTACTAGCTTCAGACTCCCTATTTCCTGCAAGTCTACTTCCCTTCCTGTCTTCCCTATCCTAGTTAATGGTATCATCACCCTCCTAGACTTGAAACTCAGCATCCTCTTCATGTCCCCCCTCTCTCACACACTGAGAATCCAATCAGACCTGCTTCTGCAGTGTTTCTCTGAGCCTTTCCTCCATTCTGTTACCACAGCTGCTGTACTAAATCAGCCTTTCATTACCTCTAGTCACAATTATTACTGAAACCCACAAACTGGTCTTCCTTTCTAAAGGGCCTCTGTTCTCCAGTGTATTCTTCATTCTGTGGCTAGATTTACCTTTTCTCAAAGCACAGGGTAGATTGGAGAAGCCATTTACAGAAATTGTTTATCCAGCCAACATTTATTGAGTCCTTAATATGTGCTAGGCACAGTGTTTATGTTCTGAGAACATAAGACAAATAAGACATCGTCATTCTAGAAGCTCATAGATAAATGGGGAACACATAAATAATACAACGTAATGTAATAAGTTCTATATTACAAATGTGGACATACTCCAAAATATGGTTACACAAAGATACTGGTTAGCCAAGTACTCTTTTACTCTGCCTGATTTTCTATCCCATTTTCTGTCTGATAAAATTATACTTGTTCTTTCAGATTCTATTCTAAAAGCATCTCTTCAGTAAAGTACCCTTCAACTATCCTCTTTCTATCTTGATCAATTTAGTTACTTCCTCTTTTTCTGGGGAGGGGGGTGGTGACCGTGGTGATTGTGGTATTGAGACAGGGTCTCATGTAACCCATGCTAGCCCCAAATTCAGTATAGAGTGCAGCTCATCTTGAACTCCTAATCCCTCAGCCTCTACCTGTAAAGTGCAGGGATTAGAGGCAAGTACCAGCATGCTAGGTTTAGGATCCTTATCTTAGTCATAGCTTCTAAAATGTTTTGCCAAAGAAGGTAGCATTTACAAATTCCAAGTGAACATATCTTTATGTTCTTGTTTTTTGGAGACAGGGTCTCCCTGTAGCCCCAGATGGCCTGGAACTTGCTATGTAGATCAGGCTGGTCTCAAACTCATAGAGATGCACCTGCCTCAGCCTCTTGAGTGCTGGTACTAAAGGCATGCTCCACCACACCTGGCTTGACATGTGTTTACTTTATTATTATTACTTATTTACACAGGTCCTCTGCAAGAGCAGCCAGTTCACTTAACTACTGAACCCTGAGCCATCTTTCCAGCCCCCTGAACATATATTTTTAGAGGCCACCACTCAGCCTACTATAGAGGGGTTTATCCATCTTAAAAATCTTCAAAAGCAGGCTGGGAGTGGTGACAAATGCCTTTAATCCCAGCACTCGCGCTCGAGAGGCAGAGGCAGGCAGATCTCTGAGTTCAAGGTCAGCCTGGTCTACATAGTGAGTTCCAGACCAGCTGGGGCTACAACAGGGAGACCCTGTTTCAAAAAGACCAAAAAAAAAAGTTTTCAAAATGTAGTCATCACCTTCAGTATAAAGTTCGAGCTCTACATCAATTCCAGCCTCATTGGATACATATTTGCTTACTCTTTTTAAAAATATTTCATTTATTATTTTAATTTTATGTGTATGAGTGTATTGCCTGCATGTATGCAAGTACATACATGCCATGCAATGTCTGCAGAGGCCAGAAGAGCACATCAGATCCCCTGGACCTGGAGTTATGGACAGTTGTTAGCTGCCATGTGGGTACTGGTATTCAAACCCAGGTCCTCTGCAAGAACAACCAGTTCTCTTAACTCTTGAGCCATCTCTCCAGCCCCCAATACTTGCTTACTCTTTGACTAACTTAAGAGTGGGCTAAAATTCTCCCTATTAGAATGGCCAAAATTAGGGCTGGAGAAATAGCTCAGAGGTTGAGAGCACTGGCTGCTCTTGTAGAGGATCCAGGTTTGGTTCCCAGCACTTACATGGCAGCTAACAACCATCCATAAGTCCACTTCCAGGGGATCTGACACCCTCTTCTGGCCTCTTAGGGCATTCACAAACATGGTATGCTTAAATACATGCAGGAAAAACACTCATACACATATACATAATTAATAAACAATTTTAAAAGAATGGCCAAAATCTAGAATATTGTCAACACTAAAGCTGGCAAGGATGCAGAGCAATAAGAACTCTCATTCATTACTGGTGAGAATGGAAGGCTCTGGCTTCATGCCTCCACCATGCATGCTTTTTAAAAAGCCCTATGTACTTTTGGTGATAATGATGTATCAGTGTAGAATATAGGTTCATCAATTGCACCATTCTGGGGTGGGATGCTGTTAATGGGGGAGGGGAAAGGGGTATACAGGAACTCGACATTCTGCTCAATATTATGAACCTGAAACTGCTCCAATTAAATTATAATAATAATAATAATAATTATTATTATTATTATTATTGAAACAAGGTCTCATGGAATCCAGGATAGTCTCCAATTCACTCTGAAGACAAGGATGATTTAGAACTCCTGATCTTCCACCTCCACATCTCAACTGCTGGTTTTATAGGTATGTACCACATACCCAGCTAGTATTTCTTTTGTTGAAGTCCTTCAAGGTTAAATCAAAAGTTAGCACCTCCAATCTCTTTTCCTATACCCAATCAGAAAGATTATTTATTTATTTATTTATTTATTTATTATGTGTATGAGTGTTTTGCCTACATGTATCTAAAGTGTACTATGTGTGTGCAACGTCCACAAAGGGCAGACAAGAGCATTGTATCCCCTGGAACTGGAGTTACAGATGATTGTCAGCCACCATGTAGGTGCTGGGAACCAAACCTGGGTCCACTGCAAGAGCAACCAGTGCTCTTAACTGCTGAGGCTGAGGCATCTCTCCAGCCCCAGGAAGATTTTTCTTTCAGACTGGACTTACATTTGTAACTCTCCTCCTTCAGCTTCCCCCACACTGCTGGGATCACCACTTGTAAAGAGTTACTTTTACTTGCTACTTTTTATCTATGTGTCTTAGTTACTTTCTTTCCAAACAGTTTCACTATGTAGCCAAAACTGGCTTTGAAGCTTAGGTTCTTTCCTCCTAAGCATTGGAATTACAGACTTTCAACATTATGCTTGATTCTGGCACTTTTTTATTATTACATATTGATTGAATGATTGATTGATTAATTGATTGACGGATTGGTTGGTTGACTGACTGAGTAAGTGAATGATTGGTTGATTTTGTTTGCACATCTGTGTGTGGACAAGTGCTTTTCTTCTACCTGTGGGTCCTAGGGATTGAACTCAGTCAAGTACCTTTACCTGCTGAACCATCTTGCTGGCCCTGATTTGGATATTTTTATTATGGCACTCTAGCTGTCTTTTCTCTAAAAGATAACAACATACTAGAAAGAATATTGCCTCTCTCATATTAGGCAAGTAATTTTTCACTCTTTGAAAATCAGCTTCCTTATCCAGAAAATGGAGAAATAACAATCCCTAAATCATGGGGACTGTGGATTAAAGGAGGTAATGTTTAAAAAGCTCAGGGGGCTGGAGAGATGGCTCAGTGGTTAAGAGCATTGACTGCTTTTGCAGAGGACCTGAGTATTAGAGTCCCAGCACCCACATGGTAGCTAACAACTGTCCGTAACTCCAGTTACAGGGGATCCAACACCTTCTTCTGACCTCCATGGGCATTGCACAACATGAGTGCACTTAGTGAGCATCTTGGGAGAGTCTGGCTTTCCCCTAGGAACTTCTCCACTCAGTCCATCCAATGTGGTAGTGACAGTTAAGCCAGTGCAAGATTGGTGGGCAGGGAGAAAGGAAGGTGGGAAGGAGGGAAGGAAGGAAAGAAAGAGGGAGGGAGGGAGGGAGGGAGGACAGGAGTGGGAAGTGATTGCCTAGTGAGATTCACAAAAAAAAAAAAAAAAAAGAAAAGAAAAGAAAAAATATATATATATATTTTTTTAAGCACATGATGGGACTGGAGAGATGGCTCAGTGGTTAAGAGCACTCACTGACTGCTCTTGTAGAGGACCTGGGTTCAGTTCTCAGTACCCACATGGTGGCTAACAATTGTCAGTAACTCCAGTTTTAGGGGATCAGATACCCCTTTCTGACCCCCCGGGGCATTGCATGATAAGGGTTCACTTACATACATGCAGGTGAAACACTCATACACATAAAATAAAAATAAAATTTAAAAGCTCATGACACAGCAAGTGCCTTTTCCACTAAGCAAAGGTTCTTTTTTTTTGAGACAAGGTCTCCCTGTAGCCTCAACTGGCCTGGAGCCTGGAGCTCGTATGTAGACAGATCTTAGAGAGGTCTTCTGGGATTAAAGGCATGTGCCACTAAACCTGGCTTAATGGTTCTTTTTTAAAATTGCATTTATCTATCTAGCTAGCTAGCTAGCTAGCTAGCTAGCTATCTATTTATTTATTTATTGTGTGTGAACAGGGATGTTGGGATGTTCAGAGGACAACTTGCAGGCAGGAGTTTGTTCTCTCCTTCCACCTGGGTATAGAACTCTGGGCTCTAGGCTCCGGGGTGGAAAGTACATTAACCTGGAGTTCATGGGCACTTTGAGGATACATAGATGCACTGCTTCGGGGCTTCCTAAGACTCTCTGGAAAGCATCTGTTATAAATTCTGTTCTGGGAAGAAGATCCATAGTTTTCATTCGCTGTCCTGGAGTTTGCTATTAGCCTGCCTCTGCTTTCCTAGTATTGGAATTAAAGACCTGCGACACCACGCTTGTCTCTCTCTCTCTCTCTCTCTCTCTCTCTCTCTCTCTCTCTCTCATATGATAGGGTCTCCGTATGTAGCTCAAGCTGGAACTGAACTTGTACTTCTGCCTTAATTTATTGATTTTGGGGAATTACAAGTGTGCACTACGCATACCTAGCTTTATTGGCTTTTTTTTTCCCCTTTGGTCTTTTTGAAACAAAGCTTAACTATATTGCCCTGAGTGGCCTGGAACTCTCTGTGTAGACTAGGCTAGTCTACACAGAGAGCTCCTCCAGTCTCTCTAGGCCCCACCACGTCTGGCCCTTCACTGGCATTTTAAAGGGTTAGTGAACAATAACAACAACAAAAAGATCCGATTAGGAAGTTTTGCGGCAGAGAGGCTGTAATGACCTGGGGAGATTAGAAGAAAGCTTTTCAGAGCTTAATTGGTGCTTTCTTTTTTAAACACACATATTTTCTAATGTAGGAGGAAGTCTAAGCATACCCATTATCCAGATGCCGGAACTCAGAAACAAAGTGGTTTGTAAAAGGTAAAGTTCTTACCCAATGTGAACCTTACTGAACATCTGTTTCAGGCCAAGAATGGAGCTAGGAGGCCATGGGAACCCAGTTCAGGTCATAGCTTAGCACCCCGTTTCTGCTCTGCACCTCCAGTACAGGCCATGGCTCAGGAAGCTTCCGTGGATTTTCAGTGGGTGAAATTCACTTTCTGCTTATAGGGCCCAAAGCTCCCGGGGCGTGGAGCTCCTCCCCACTACGGGCTAGACCCCGCCCCCGCTGCAGTCTGTATTGTCCGATGGTTCCCAGCGTCCCTCGGCAGTTTCCGGCAGTAATCGGAGTTTCAAACCTGTACATCCCCCCCCCCGCGTCTCTCGGCCGTCGTGCTCCCTACCACCGCCCGCTCGCGGTCCCCGCGCTTGCTCCCGCCCTCCACTCTCCTCCCCTTCCCTCCCCACCTCGACTGGTCCTGCTGGCGCCTCTGGCGCTTCGGGCTGGGCAAGATGGCGGCTTTCGGGATCTTGAGCTACGAACACCGGCCCCTGAAGCGGCCGCGGCTGGGGCCTCCCGATGTGTACCCTCAAGATCCCAAACAGAAGGAGGTGCGTTCACAAATCCGGGCTCCTGCGGGGTCGGGGCAGGTGATTAGTGTCCCCACCTCGACTGGTCCTGCTGGCGCCTCTGGCGCTTCGGGCTGGGCAAGATGGCGGCTTTCGGGATCTTGAGCTACGAACACCGGCCCCTGAAGCGGCCGCGGCTGGGGCCTCCCGATGTGTACCCTCAAGATCCCAAACAGAAGGAGGTGCGTTCACAAATCCGGGCTCCTGCGGGGTCGGGGCAGGTGATTAGTGTAGGAAGAGACACTGACAGTTCAGGGAATGGGGGGGGGGGGGGGGGGGTTAGGTGGGGGCAAAAGGCCCAAAACGGGG